GCTATGACACACTTTGCATTAGATTACAGTTAGCACTGCAAGTACTACTCATAATATAGGACAAAAAACATGTTTTGCAGACTAACACTACGAGTGGTCAGCAGCATTTCAAGGATCAAGATCTTCCATCGATGGTTCATTCATATCGACTGACATCAAGTCATTCCAATTATTTTTATTAATTACCTGTATTTTGCATAAAAGGCAGGGGCTTCAAACCACGAACATGTCAATTTTCCATACATGCAGGCCTGTCTAAATGTTCTATTTCATGGCTTTAATGGTATGAATGTAGCCTTACACTACTGAAACCTCTGGCTTAGGATCACAATCCTTCTGGATCATGTTCTAAGACTGTGAAGAGCATTTTTGGCTCTAGTGATGATATCAGTGATTGGATACAATGAATTTTCGCAGATTATCATTACAGAATTAAATTGGTAATATGGAAAAAAGGATCGGGGTCCGCAGTGGCCGCGCGGTCTGAGGCGTGGGCCTTGTGCCGCTTGATCGCTGGGACCGTGGGTTCGAATCCCACTCAAGCCATGGATGTTTGTCCACATTTTTCTGTGCTGTGCTGTCCTGTGCCTTGCGACGGGCTGATCCCTCATCCAAGGAGTCCTACTGAATGTCTATAGATCACTTCTTCCAGTCTGGAGGATAAAAAAGACTGGCCATGGAAGGCAAGGTAAAACCACCATAGTACTTTCGCAAGAAAACCCTAATGGGGTCATGACGGTCAAAGCTGATCATAGAGACTTTAAAAAAAACATCAGGGTGGAATGGATCATGGGAATTATAATGCCGTTGCACACAGTATTTTCTGGAGTATTGTTCTAAAGTTTCTCTACATGCACTCAGCAAAAATTAGCATTATTGCAGAATCATTCTGACTGTATAAAGTCTTATAAAAAATATTTGCTTGCAAAGAAATCTCTTAATTATAAATTCATATCCATCGTTTCAGAGTTCATACACTAGAATTCAAAGCAGTCACTAGGAACAACTATGTAAAACCATGAAAGTGGAACTTATGCAGAATGAAACAAAATTGTTGTACAAACATCTAAATATCACATTAGATCTTTCCTTCAATCATAACAATGGTATAAATTTATTACCACATACCTATTCTACATAAGATGTGTGGAGTGTAAATGCTAAAAAAAAGGCCGTCACAGACATAAATAAACTTGTAAATGTGAGTTGTTCATGCCAACTTCAAAACAAGAGCAGGTGAAACCTTATAAAACCCAAACAAGCTTTGCCTCTCAGCCAAAAGTGTGCCCTAGTAAGCCAAAGTAGTTCTCACTAATGCATTAAGAGAACTTGGAAGTTGCCTATCATATGCATGTATCTACACTATCACACTGCTCATTCATATTCATAAATTCACATCTTCAAATCTTGGTTAAGAAACTGGCTAGAGGACTGAGTTCTGCTCAGTCCCTGTGGACAAATTCTAGATTAGTTAACATAAACAAGCCACAGCCATTTACTTTCACATCTTTTCCAAATCATCATATAAAATCATGCTTCCAATTCATGCAATTCATACAGCAAAGGAAACTAGAGGTAAAGGTGTTGTTGTCCCTAGTGCTTAACTAAGCACCATACCATGCTGACATATGGCAGAATGAAAATATTACTTCATGTTCCTAATCTCAGCACTACATGAGGCAAACAGCTTCACCCTAGCTCTCTTCGCTTCCAAAGAAAGAACCTTACTACTCTCTACCCACTGGATTGGAGCTGGATGGGGCCTGGAGTCAGTCTGGACACAGCAGCAAAGAGAAAAATTCATTCCTGCAAGAAATCAAACTCCAGCTGTTGTCCAGCCTGCCTAGTCACTATATTGACTGAGCTATCCAGCTTCCACTGGAAGTTTCCATAGCCTACTTCAAGGTACTACCCTTGTACTTGTCTTTAATGACAAAAGAAAATCACAAAGAAAAATCAGGGACATTTGGCTCCAAAAGTGGGACTGAAACAATGTAATGCTCTGATACAAGAACATCAAGTCATCTCATTCAGTTACAAAAATCTAGATTGATTTATTCCATATTTATTTAATAATTTGCAACTGTAGAACTGATGAGCATGAATGATATAATAAAAATGATATGGGTACAAAACATTCATGGGCTAGGCTGAGACTGGAACTAGGGAAATTCTAAACATGAAGCAGATGTGGACAATGATGGATCTGGACAGGAACAGACTGGAGACAAATACAAAAAATGGTGGAAGATATGTAAAGGCAGGAGTGAAAATGGCTTTGCAAAGTTGTAATGATCAAGGGACCTGTTACATTTACATACAGCATAACATGATACCTCACAGCAGACAAAAAATTAAACCAAACTCCCACTACTGGCATCAATGGGATGGTAACTGGGAACAGACCAAGGCCACCTTACAGCTTGGCAGCCATTATAACTCATTCAACAAGATTACTCACTAATTGGTTCAGATGCATTCATTCAAGTTGAACAACCAACATATGACTGGGTGACTGTGCATGAGATAGATGTCTTTATGCTTTTAACAGAATACTAATCTGCCTAAGAGACTGTGGATGTGGTCCATGACACTGCATCAACTTAATTAGCTTCTGATTAAGCAAAAATTATGCAAAAGTGGAATAGAATTCTCGAATTTGGAATAAACTTATTTTTTAAATGTGTGCTCTGCAATTTCACACACATTTTTATATATATATTTTATCCACCCCCCATTATTTGTCGTCAAACAAAAGACAGTTCGGTTACTACAGACACAGGAAACCACGGTACAGCGAAAGAGTGCAGTGTTATTCAATGTATTTAAGCTGTTAGCAGCTTCTTGATATTAAATAATGCATAGTACGGGGAGAATTCTCCATGTCAACTTTTCTCAGTGGGTATCTATGTAAAGTGACATAAACGAGCTGTTGCGCGAAATAGTTTTTTTGTTTTTGTTTTCCCCCCCTGGTAACCGTGCGAACTTTGAAACAACTTTACAATACGGCGATCACCCACAACGTTACTGAATCTGAAATTTATTTGCTGTTATTATACCAAATATAAACAAATGTAATTTACCTTATGTCTCTGACCTCTCAGAATTTCGATTTCATTCAAATGTATTAGCCATGACGCAAAAGACCATCTAACTAAATGCAATTAATCATAAAATTGTTAAAATACGCCTAAAGTAAATTTTTCGAATTTTATACACATTTCCAGAACTGAAAAATCATGACGGATTGACCATATCACTATTACGTTCGCGGGATTGCATCCGAAAAGCATTCGTACTATTAACCAAAGAATTTAAACGAATTACTGTACATATAATTCAGACATCCTAAATAATTATAAAAAAAATAGTTTTGCCTTGGTGTACGGTGAGACTTCACAAACACACGAGACTGCATTTGGTGCGATATAGAAACAATGTTTAAAGTTTGTTATTATTCTCGCCTTGGCTGACATAAACTTGATAAAGTGATATGCGATAAAAACAGGCAACATTACAGTATGACTCACCAGCTGAGTCCAAATCGATGGGAAAACCTCCGCATAACTTGAGAAATAATAATCCCAAGTATAATCGAACGAAATGACAGACGGTTTCCATAATCCTGGATGCAGATTGGGAAGTTTCAAGATATTTCACTAGCTTGCGAATTCATTACAGTAAATTTGTGCTGAAATGAAGTATCACCTGAATAAGGTAAGAAACTGTATTAACGAACACTGCTTGTAAAATTTCATCGATTGTGCTCTGAAAGCTCATCAGTGTCACTGAAAGATCAAACACATTTGGTAATCCCACACAGAAAATTACACACTTTCCATCTTAAAGTCACTCAATTTACGACAACTACAAAGGAATAATTACGTAAATCGGACACGCATACAAACGTCAACGTTTCCGTATATTGCCATCTTGAAAAATATAAAACTCAGGCTCCTTCTGCTGGACAATATTTGAAGTAAAATCTTCGTAGTGCCACTTACGGCCAAGAGTTTAACTATTAATGCAAATTTCTGTGGGGTAGTAGTCGCTATGGCAGCGGTAGCTCTGTTGGTAAATAGGTTAACTAGATCTGGGTTCAGGCATGGTGCAGATTTTAAAATATGGGTAAACTTCAATCCTGAAGATGGAAGCGGTATGTTCTTCCATGACGTTGGTAATATATACAACCTCATATGGTGTCACAAGACAACCACCATGGAAAAGTAAACTACTGAAGACCGCTGTCTAATTTTTTGTAGCACCATGTAATCCGGTAAATGCTTATACAGACTTTTAACAGTACTTGCTGCCTCCATCATCAGGCTCTTCAAACCAGAAGGCAGTCATCTGCATACATCTCATTTAACAGTACTTGCTGCCTCCATCATCACGCTCTTCAAACCAGAAGACAGTCATCTGCATACATCTCACACTTTCCACCATGAGAACCTCAGATCCTACTACCAACCTCTACAGTTTTTGTAGACCACAGCCTAAAATAACTGTCTCTAATTGCACTATCCTCTTGCTACACAGACTTTGTTCTTATAACTAGAAACCTATCCTTCCATTCCCCATGTCTACTTTTATCTTACTAAGTTATTCACATTCACATCTAACTATTTATAAATATTCTCCACTATTCCTTAATTCCACAGCATTAGTATAATTGGCTTATGTTGAAATTTGAGTGACTTGCCCTGTTCCAATGGCATTAGCTAATTTTATAGCTCTGAAATTATTGAATGAACACAGAAATAAAATGAATTCTATAAAGGAATGTTACAGTAGTCAAAATCATGTAATATGCCAGTGAACTGATTACTGGTAATGTTCCAGCAATCTCTGAAGGGACTGAGGAAACCAAAAAACACTCAATTAAGATAGCTGCCTTTTGGTACAAGAATTTAATTTGAGACCAGTGTATATGACACAGGAATGCTGGCCCCTCAACTGCAACATTTGGTTTAAAAGAAACAATAAATACAAGAATGTCATGAATGAAGGTACTAGAGATGTTTTAATAAGAAATTTACATAATTCTCCTTTTGTAGGATGAAGTAATGAAATAATACAATTAACAAAATTAAAAACGAAAAAAATAAAATAAAAGGAACTAATCACTATACACATGTCATGAATGAATGTAGTAAAGATGTTTTAATAAAAAAATTACAAACTTCTCCTTTTGTAGGATGAAATAATGAAAGTGCAATTCACAAAATTAAAAAGGGGGAAAAAAAGGAACTAATCACTATACACACATGTTCATTTTAAGAATCACAGTCAAACATACTTCCAAGTACCATCTGTCCTTAGCTTTTTTTCAATCACCAAACTTTTTTGTACAAAACAAATAAAGCAACTCACTTTATGCAGACAATGTTTTGTGTGATGTGTACATTGTCTCTCCATCTATCTCTTAGAATAAAGAATACTAATTTTTGACTAAGAAGCAAATGCATTACAACTGCGCATTTCTTACACCAACCAGGTGTAACACAATAAACCACCGCTAAATAAATGCAGTAATAGTTACAATACAATTAAGTAGGTCTGAGAGAATTAAAATATGAATGGTTATGTCAAAGATCATACCTGTTAAAATTAATCTAAACTAAAACTAATGAAATGTAATTTCCAGAAAATTACATGGTCCTTATATGAACACAGTTGACCATAATCAGTACATCATTCCTCTTCAGAATGTTCTGACAGTTTTGTTGTGTTTTCAGACACAAAAGTTTCATTCTAAAAGTTAAACTTCACAATTTTAAATAAATTCATATTTATTTGAGGTATTTTCAAACATATGAAGTTTAAATCTGCAAATATCTTGTGCAACTATTTTAACAGACTTTCCCAGTAATCATGTATTTTGTCCACCTGTATATAAAACTTCAGTCACGTTTAATACTATTTTTTTTTTTGCAACCTTTAATTTACTATATTTAACCTAGCTCTGTTAAATGCTTCTTCTCACTAAATATAAATATTTTTCTTACAGAACAGATATGCCCTCTTTCATACATAATCATAAAGCATATGTCACTCAGAGATGGCTGTCTTCTGGATTGTAGTGCCAAGTTGTTTGGTATAAGTTTACTAATGTTTCAGAGTTCCTGATAATTGAGGCAACAAGGCCCTCTGAAATGATGGTAAACTTCTATCAGACTACATGGCACTACAACCCAGAAGACATCTATCATCTTACTCACAGCTGAGAGAACCTCAAATCATACATGTCATTAAAATCCTTATGCTCTACTCTCATTTTAATTACTAACCATTAACAATTTCACATTCATGTCATGACAAGACAGAGAGATGAACAAAATTTTGACAACAGCACATGGTTAAGTTTAGATGAACTGCTAAGCTCAATTCAATCTAAGGTCATATTCAATAACTGCATCTGTAAAAGACTAGATTGTTTTCTGTCATATTCAAAATATAAACAGTTTACTCTTGTTCAGTAGTGGTGGAAGAAGGCAACTGGTTTTCCACTAATGGATTATCCTCAGCTGTAGAAGTTACTACCAGTCCAGCAAATACTTGATGTAGTGTGATGACTACAAAAGCTGTGGCTACAATTGGGCCAAGATTATGAAGAGAAAGTGGGGCATATATAAGTGTTAAGATTGCTAGAATGTACAGAGAGTGCATCACCCACCGATAATATTTCCTGAAAAAAAAGCAAAACATAACTAACAACAAATTCTAGGAAAAACATAAGAGATACATTTGGCTGAACTGAGAGACAAGGATCATTACTACTACCATAGGATATAAGAAGTAAATACATAAAACAAAATGTATCTTCTCTGATGAGATAAGGAGACTTTCTGCAGTCTGAGTTACTCACATGTTAGGTCTTGGAAACTTTCCTTGCCACAGGATGCCAAAACAGAAACACAAAATGAGGGATGTTTCAAATGATGGATCTGGCTCCAATTTCACATTGAACCTGGAGAAATATGATATATTCATAACATCTGCAATATAATTCAATTATAGAAATGCTTCAATTCTATGTTATTATATATAAGTTAAAAGTACAACAGGTGTAAGTAAGAAATTATAAATTCTTTTTGGTTATAGCACCATGTTATCCTAGAAAACACTTGTGCTCTGTCAGCATAGTGACTAGGCTACAGGACAGATGACTGGAGTTTAATTTCTGGCAAAGCAACTATCTTTTCTCTTCCTCACCATGCCCACATTGGTTCTGAGGCCCGCCCAGCAGTTTCTGGCTCTTGCCTCAGGCATAAAACTGAGCTCTCAAATTCATCTAGTGCCAAGATTAAAAATATCTGGAGTTGTATCTTTACTCTCTTATAGATCTTCATGATGCAATGCTTAATTAACCATACAGACAACACAGAACAACACGGAAAGTTTCTTTCCAAAATACGTTGCTACAACTAAGAAGACATATATTATTAAATGTACAGTTATAACAGGATCAAACCCCATTTTCTTGCATACACTCACCTGTAGTTATGTGCCCAGACAAGAACACAGGGAACATTTTGCAGTGTGACTGATAGCCACAAAAGGAATGCAGTGAAACTGAAATGAAGCTCTGAGAAGGAATACTCAGAGTTCTCACTGGATTGTAATTCTACTTTAACATCAGAAGAAGTCTTAGTTGCAGGCTCTTCACATTCCCTGCCAGAGTCATCTTCAACACTTGACGAACTCTCTATAGTTCCATCAGTCTGACATGTATCAGCTTTTTCTTGAACATCAGTATCAGGTAAGACATCATGCTGGGTTTCTGTCTCTGTCTGTGCATTGTTCCTATTTTTATCATCAACTACATTGCTTTCTGTTGAACTTGTAACAATGGCATCCTTCTTACTGTTATTATGATCATCATCACCAACTGTTGAACTCTGTGGCTTCTCGGAAGCTTCGTTCTTCTTTTGCATCCCCAGTACCAGCTTTAGTGAACATTTAAATAAATCTTCCAAGTAGTCTTCATAAATTCTGCAAAGCTGAAATCAGCAGTTATGTTCAATAATCAACTGTTACATTACAGACCCCAGTGTAGTGGATTTTTAAAACACTGTTGACAACTATGTTTTAAAAATCCATTACATGATACATAAATTCTGAAATTTGACCTCATAAAGCTCTGAATGATTGCTCAGTTTTTGTGTTATTTAACAATATTTCTTCAACTGCATAAGTTACATAGTGCTGAATTCTATAATGACTGTGAATCATGAATTGGATGTGATGTGAAAGTGACTGTATACCCTGAAGATGGCTATCTTCTGGGTTGTTGTGCCATGTAGTCTGGTATAAGTTTACTGACATTCCGGAGGTCCTCAGAGGACTGTTTGTAAACAAATAAAAATTATTTTTAAACCAAGTATGGACCTTCATATTCAGCTGATACTGAACACTGCGACCAAGTGGTTGGCACCTCAAAAACTAGCTACCCTGACAGACTGGTTTTCATCAGTCTCTTCAAGCAAATACTGGGACAGAACCTCAAATTAGTGCATAAACACTTCTCTCCACATCCTTCCCAATTCATTAATCATTCTATCATTTAACACTATAGTTTGAGCTACTGACAGCATCATTAAAGAAATAACAAAATACATTTGTAGCTGACAATGTTGTAGGTGATGCTATACTATGGAAAACAACAGCAGCAGAATACCTTGAGGAAGAAGAAAGCAGCACCAACACACAGGCTGAGAGCACCGCATGTGCTACATGTAAGAGCTATGAGGAATGCGGCCACAGCTGCAGGTAACTTTGACAGCCCTGCCATGGCCCATTCTGACAAGGTCAATGTTCCTGTCAGAGACCTGGCCAGGAACCTGTGAAATTAACTGCCATGTTATAAAAGTTGTGGTGGTTGTGAAAACCCTGCCCACATCTTTGACACAATAATATTATAAAACATTTAAAACAAACAAGTCAGGAAATGTGTGCATGACATAACAATTCTGGTGCACTGACCAGGATGTAACCTTTGCAAATGGTACCAGTGACATCAAACAGTCAAGGATTCCCCATATGATGCTTGGATAAAAGAATTCTGTTCAAAGTTTGAGATTTTAGTTGAAGTTGGAATTGGATTTTAAAAAATCATGAGTTTACAAACCTCAGATATGGATGTAACCATCATATTATTGTGTTGTTCAAAGGTTTACCTAAGAGCCATCTTGTGTGCAGTGTGGCCACTGAAAACAATGGCAAGCCAGCAACACAAACCAAGAAAGTATGCTGCCCCATATGCCACAACATAGAGATAAAGAGAGAGAAGCAGAAAATCCAGGTTCTGGTCCTGCAGAACTATGAGGTCAGGTAGTGGTAGTAGTGGATGCATTAGCTTCATAAACACACTCCACCTGTGAAGCATACAACAAGCTTTATCTCACAGAAGTCAACCAACTACACCAACGAGCATACTACTAAATCTGCCATAACCAAATCTGACCAATGCTGTCAGACTCTCATTTTCCAATGCATACAATTCATATACAGCTGTTGAAATTTGATTATAGCAAGTCATCACCTTACATGTTACATATTAGGCAATTTTCTCAAGGTACTCTCTATATATACACACTTGTCCGATCCCTGCAGGATAGTATTTCTTTAATCCCAACCAATGGAGACATCAATAACAATAAACATTTCAGTTCATATTCAAACAGCACTCGGTTTTTAACAAACAGAGGCTGGAATCACATTGCTGAATCATTCAATAGCATTACTGTGTCCTGATGTGCATAAAGCTTTTATAATCTTTTCATTTCTCAGCACATACCCTAACACACGTGCTCCAATCTTCACAGCTGGAAGAATGTAATATGGCTTTGCCCCAGCACCTAGTGCTGTGTGAAACATAATGCACTGTCCAGTTTCCATCATGGTGCGCAGCTGTTCACGCAGAGTAAGCAGCAATATGGCAACCAGGTGCGATAACAGCATTGGACTGTAAAACCGAGCCAGCTGCCCCAAACTGTCCAGCATTCCACTCTGAATTCTGAAATGTTGGCACCAAAAATTCAAACATATTAACAGTACTTTATAAATAAAATTGTCCCCCAGTGAATAAATAAATTCTTGAAACCAGATTGTAAGCATTCTTTGGTGTATATGACAATGATTATAATTCTTATTAAACAAAAGTAAAGAAAAATTGAGAAACCTTTCTTCTCAGAAATGTATCATAAACAGTCAAGTTTAAAGACAGGTCACTGTATAGAATGTCACCTACAATGACATTTCATTATAATACACACTATTCAATAAACATTGACTGTACTGAAATTTAATTAGAATTATTAGCCACAATAAAAAGGTTCTGTCAATGTTTCAAATACTGATAACAAACAAATGTATTATGACTGTTTATCTCATGATTATGATTGTAACAGTATATGACAGGGCAGGAATTCTTTTTAACTGAAATGTTTTAATTTACTCACTACTTCAACAGAAGTGGGTCTATTTTATTTAAATTGGTAATTTCCAAATATTTAATAACACAAGATCTTAAATGGTAACCTGAACTCAAATTATAGTTGAATACTTCAATGAAACATATTACTACTAAAGACATTTAAAATATTTTATTTAAAAATAATTACTGCAATAAGAAAGTAAGAAAATAAGTGAGATTTGGGGTTCTCATGGTGGCAAGCATGTAGGTGGCTATCTTCTGGGATGTAACACATGTACTTTGCTACATTCTGACTGATGTTTCAGAAGAGCTTACCGCCTCCATTATCATGTTGATGAACTGCCCTAAGTCAGTAAGCACCTCTGAAACACAATTAGTATGTACAATACAACACAATGCTACATCCCAAAACACAGCCACCTTTAGAAAGCAATTGCTTCATCAATTACCAGTTATCCAATGTTTTAAATATGACAACCACTGAGGCTCAGAGTCATATCAAGAGATATGTCTTACCTAACAGAGTATTTACACTTGGGATCCAAAACCAAAGTGACTTTAACAGAGTCGCTTGAATTGTATGATGCAGGTTTCAGAGTCTGAAGTTTTAAGCGTAGTGGTTTATGAACACTTTCTCTGTGAAACAGAAAAGTAACACTCATGAAAATGATATACAAACAAGCTGACAACTATGAGATTTGAGGTTCTCACAGTAGTGAAGATGTCCACGTTTGGTCTTCTGAGTCATAATGCTGTATGGACTTTCAAGCACACACCAACATTTCAGATGATCATACTGCCAGACGCTCTCTAAAAAGAAAGCACTTTTCCACATTCCACAACCTACATGAAAATATCATGTTATAAAACATAAATAATGATTTGGAGTATGCCTTTAATGTGATGGTTCATACTTTGACCAATTCCTATAGATGTAATTTTATATTATAAGATTTATTTATTGTACTAGTAAATATTTATCACTGCTTTATATTTTGGCCTACATTATACTAGGTCATATGATATTTATACCTTGAAGTTTACTACTGAAAACATGTAACACTCACGTGATATGAACATGTACATCTTCCCTACTCCAGGGCACCCTCATTGTTGCCACTGAGTGGTGTGGAGTTTTCTGACACTCCTGGGGATTGACATGAAGCAGGTATGCTTGCCAGGTTTGCTCAAACCCTGGCAGCGTAAGCTCATAATACACAGCATGGTCATATGTCAAGTCCAGCACTACAGACTTCGACATGAATGACACCCACTTTGGCAGAGAAACAGCTATGTGACGACTTGAGGAATGGATGTCAACATTAAACTGAACCTTGTAAAAAATGTATTAACAAGTATTAAGTAAAGAACAAATCACAGTACTAGGTACATTTAGGGCATGAAAATATGTGTATATCATCATAAGCAACTGTCATATAAGGAGCATGAGAAAACTAAATAAAAATGTGAATGGCATAATGACCACACCCTTCCTAAGAATCAGGATTACTGATTCAGGTGAAAGAATTAATGTGATACCACTCAATTTGTTTTTTGTGAAAAATTATTAAATCAAGGATGATGAGATGAGAAGGGCATGTAGCAGACATGACATAAATGAAGAACACAGACAAAATGTTAATCACAAAACCTGAATGGAAGAAACAACTTCAGAGACCTAGACAACATGGAAGGGAAACATTAAAATGAATCTTAGAGAGACAGGATGAGAGGATGTACAGTGAACTTTTCTGGCTCAAGATATGGTCCAGCAGTGGACTTTAGTGAACATGATGATAAACTGATGGGAAAAGAATTCTCTGACTAGCTTCGTGATTCATCAGCTTCCCAAGAAGGACTCCGTTCCATAGTGTTAGATATGGCTTCGATGTTTCATTAACTTCTCACTTGTTTTTGAGATATCTCAAGAACAATTAACCTGTTATCATGAGTTTTTACAGTTAATATATTACTGTGTTCCCCTTTTGTTTCTAAGTAAGATCTGGCATGACTCAAAATAATTTGTATTGGCCCTATGCAGCTAATGAGGCTGATGACTGGATGGTGAAAAGTAATGGATAATAATTCACCTTTATCCTATTGCAACATAGGATTTAAATCCCCACAGTATGGGCTGCTGGCCAGAATTTACCAGTTCAGCATACAAGATGCAAGACCAGCTAACCTACACTTAAGCCATGACACACAGCCAATAAAGACTGAAGCAGAGGTGTTGAGCACTCACCATTTCTCTGGTTGGTTTCACTCGTATAATGACATGCGTAAATGATTTACGTTTCAAGGCTGATAGACTTAGGTAGACAAACTTCCTCTTCAAATGGTGTGATGGCAAAAATTTTGTCTCATTGGACAAATTGATTCCATTGTGACTGAATATAGAAACATAAAAATAAGCAAATGGACCAAATCTATAAACACATATCCACAATGTTTCTTGACTTTTTTTCATACTAAAATAAATTAGGACCTGCCTTACATTACTTTAAACTGTGTTTCTGTCTTGCAAAATGAATGATTACATTTAAAAATTCCTCTTTCACTTGTAACATATTTAATACTCACCACATCCTAACTTCATTATGAAAAGCATTAGCAACACATGCAAAAACCCAATCCTTGTCATCAATATTGACAGCTTCCACTGCCAACATTTCATGCTTTGGATCATCAAGCAATCGGATCATAATGTGTGTTTCAGTAAGAACTCCATTTGGTTCATGAAATGTGAACTGACGCTGTAAATTCTCCTTCCAGACCACATTTTGGTCAAAGTATACATTATGAGGATGGAATGCAGTGGAGAAACGTTTTCCTGCTGTTCTCTAAATAAGCCAAAACATAAAAGATGTTAAACCTTTTTGAGCTCTGAAAACAAGTAAATTACAATTGACAATGGACCGATCCAAATAATATATTTATTCTTCACATTATCTTAAAATAAAAAGTTCAAATGAGCTGCATAAAAAAATTGACCTGTAAAAGCAAAGTAGTTGCTGACAAGGACATACATCAAGACATTTTAGAAAGCAGCTGAGATATGCTTTCTTTAAATGCTTCCATCTCTACACAGATAAAAAAAAAGTAAAGCTGTCCTGCTACACGCCATGTAGGTCATTTGGGGTGGGCCTCAGAGCCGGTCTGGACACAGAGGCTAGAGGAGAAATCCTCTGCCCTGTCGGGGATCGAACCCCAGTCATCCAGCCCGTAGCTAGTCATTATACTGACTGAGTTATCCCGGCTCTTCTATACAGATAATAACAAATTATAAACTGACTTCATAAAGACTCTTCTCCAAACATTATTAAGGTGATCAAATCATGAAAAAGGAGATGGCAGGTCAAGCAGCATGAGAGAGATGAGAAATGCATACAACATTTTTGTTGAAAACCACAAAGTGAAGAAACCTTCTGGTTCCATTAAAGGGCATAGCATTTATTGACCAGCACAGTTATTACTTCTTAAGAAGGAATTCCACCATTTGTAATTTAGTTTCAAGTGGAAATATTTCACAGTGTTCCTGTTGACTGTTTTAAGGGTACGGAATTATGCCTTAGTACCTGTAACATATGGTAGTGGAAGACTAAGTTGCGTTCCTGCACATTTGTTGACACCTGTTTTGTGGTGAGGTTCACAATATCAAACAGTGATCTAACAATCACAAGCACCAGTTCCTTGCACCACACACTGCAAAGGTGATCTGTTGAAAACCACACAGTGGGCACTGCAGTGCTCTATAAGGGACAATAAAACCAGTCATTCAGCTCACATCTTTTTCCAGCTTTCATCTATATCCTACACAATAAAACACCAAGAATGAGGACCATCCATTTTTCACAGTGAACTCTCATTACAAAAACCTTAGTAAACCTCACAAATTCAGTGAGAAAAATTAAACACTGTTATAACTTCACATACATAAACTAAGTTTTTGAATATTATACAGTCATGAACATTAATCTAATACAACAAATTGCACTGAACCTCATTTACTTTCCACAGATGATTCCATTTTAAGCAGGTCATCTGACAACCAAGCTGCTCCAGCTATCTCCATCTTCCCAGAACTATTCAGCCTGTTTCTTCCTATGGCATTCCTTCCCTGTGTGAAATCTATCCTAACCTATTTTTCCTTTCTTGATATTGGTCTCTCTCTTGTGTGTTTTCCTTTTATATTAATGACCAAAAGCTTGATTGGAATTCTCACTTTATGACATCCGGTACTGTGTATATGAGAGATACCTTGAATTATTCTTGATAGGAATAGAAAATCCACAAAAAAGAAGAGACACTGTCTTAGATGTGAGTCAAACAAGGCATGTCTCATACACCTAATGACATGTTTGAGGTAGGACCTTTCCTCCTTCATTCTTGTAAGGTCCTCTGGTGAAAGCTCAGTTTTCAGACTGACTATACTGATTAAAGTATTGTAAAATTATCTTAATTCCTCCAGGCAAATGCCAAGATAATATCTCAAATTAGGACATAACCACTTCCTGCTACAAACTTTCTACTTGGTTATGTGCTAATTTTAGTAATGTCAGTTGAATAATGTACCCTAACCTACCACAACATTAACATCAGCTTCTCCAGTCTGAGTCAATCCAGATCTGACTAGAATATCCCTATGACCTCCTCCAATACTTGCAAATGTCACATGACTAAGGTTTGCTTCTCTGTCTGCTCTTCTATTAGCTTTCCAATATGTATTGACACTGTCATAATATCTTGCTATGAATGAGTCAAGTGCAAGCACAGGGCTTTTGTGTGGAGTTACTAGAGTGATAATTACATGAACCAGACTCTTTTCAAAATTGGGTTCCAAAAATAAGCCCTTTGCAACCATTCCACCCTGCAAACACAAACAGATATCCAAGTGAAATTTAAATACTGTACAGTTTACATACATACATGTAATGTATACTGTAATAATAACACAGCAATTAACAACAGTAAGTAGCATGCACTTTATCAACCATACATAACTTATATTCATCTAAGGCATAACATTTGTATAGAAAAAAAGTGTCATGTAAGAGTGACAGTTCAGTTAATTTACAAACCATAGAATGCCCAATAAGTATAACAGAAGTGGGTTTATTTTCATTGTTTTGATATAGTTCCAGTATTCTGTGAAGGCAATGGTGAACAAAATCTCTTTGGTCCTTGAGAACACCACCAAATAATGCTGAATACTCCTCATTCAAGTCCACCGAGAAATAATCAAAGTGGAAAGGTGTATGAGAATTCAATGTCTTCCGAAGACTCACAGATGCCAGTGAACGTACTATAAAAAGAAAACGGTAAATTTTATGTACGGCTTCCACATTAAAATAATACAAGTGATCTGATAGAGAATAATGTTTACCTTGTTTATGTGATCCACTGTTTCCAGGAATGAACAAAACTGGAATACCGCTGAATTTCATTAGCCGTAGTTTCTCTGTCTTCTGTCCTTCACCATATGCATATAGCCCATAACGATTGTATCTTCGAGTTACATCAGCTGGCAGTGAAATCCGCTGTGTAAAGAACAAATTAAGTTTCTTCAATAAAATCCTCTCAGGCAACGAGCCGTATCAGTTACGGACAAGAGCCCAACATTTCGGAGACCTTATCTGCCGCCATTATCAGGGAAATTATGGGTAATTAATTGAGTCTAGTCGCCATGAAAGTTTCAAAGTCTTGTGAGAATATTATATGCTAATATCAATCCACAATTTTTCATGTACATTAGGATTTCTGTATTAATTTTTTCTTACGTAACCTCACTTCTATAACGCAGACGAGTTTAACCTCACTTATCGTAGAGTGGAATCAACTAACCACAGTGCGTAATTAATTTGCATACGTATAGAAACTTACAACGTACTGAGGATATTCGAACATGTAAGTCATTTCACATCCATTTTCTTCGTAGCCTGTCAAAAAATTGTGAAGTCCTAATATAAAAAGAACAAAAATAATGCCAGAAAAGACAACAAAAGCACCTACGGCTGCCATGTTTTATTATAACAGTGCTGTTCACTCGTTTTCAGATGACATTTACGAATGCTTTGTAACTTATGGCATAGATATGTTGGTATTAGCTGTGGATATACCTGAAACAAAAGCCGGTAAGCAACATGTTCACGATGTAAATATACGAGGTTATGAAGCACTAATAAATATTAACTGAAAACACAGAGGTTATATTTTCTGAATAATGCTGTTACATTTTACATTTTACATTTATATTATACTGACGTAGTAAAACGTAAATTGGCATGCATAAAATATTAAAAATTACGTGTCGTATACCCCCCAAAAGTAAATAGGGTTAAGGCTATGTAGTGGCTGATCCCCTGACCCATGAACTTGTGGCATATGTCGTTTGCATTCCACGATGTTTTCATGTGTCATTCTTGTTGACAGAACAGTTTCAGAATTATCTTATAAACATTATGCCTATTATTAAATGTAATATTATTTATTAACAAGTAAGCTACCCCTATAAACTTGAATAGGCCTATACCACATTTGTATTCATGAATAACTTTTCAAAAAATAATTACACATTGTAAAGCTATTTTCGAAAAAATATACACATAACAAGCGTTACTGGGATACATTATCCAGAATAAGCATATATAAGAAGTAATGAATATTTGTAAGTAATTCAATTTGGATTGTCTATCAGCTAATATGTAATTTTTGAGGCTTCTGGTCTTTCCTGACTGCTTCTTGGGGATGATTAGCTTGCATTTATGATTCTGCACTATTTCTTTTAAATCCTTTCACATTCTTCACATATTTTAGCACAAGAAAGTATGGGGGGAAGCTTCTTATGTGACAATTTTCCCATTGTGCCTCACCTGGTAATTATAGATATTGTGTGAATGTGTATATAATCTCATACAGTTGTATTACTTTTCATTTTAGATATACTGTGACCCCAGCTGACATGAACAGGCTACTGAAACATAACACAACATTAATTAAATTTTGGTGTCTGCAAGGAAATGCAAGGTTATTGAACTCAAAAATTCCTCCTATTCCAGTTGTGAAACTAACAGATGAGAATAACCTCCCTCCTCAAACAAAGATAAATCAAGAAACTATTGAACTTCTGGAACGATTATCACTGGTGGACTTTGCTAATAAAAGAGGAATAGAACGTTTGGAAGATGCTATAAAATTTGCAGATCTGATTCGTGGGATTGATACATCTGGTGTGGAACCCATGATATCTGTTCTTGAGGACAGGTCAGTATTTTCATGATGGTTATTAACAGGAGAGTAACCAGAACTGGGTCTATGGCAAATTACAATTATATGTAAGTGTTATTGGCATGATGTGTTGATGGTGGTCTTCTGGGTTGACACTGAATGATTTTGTAGGAAAATGACTTGTTATACTAGTCCTCTTTTGACCTTCCTCAGCAAAACAAGATATTGTGGGAAGGAAATATGTTCTCAGGGAGCAGCAGTAGTGCAAAAGAGAAGACAAAATGTACTTAATCGGTATAATATACTGTAATATTTTTACTTCATAATTAGTACTTCAAATTGCAGTTGAATTTTGGTTCTCTAGACTCAGTCAACATTATGATAAGTGGTTTAATTAAAAATTGATGAATAATATTTATGAAACTGATTACAAAATTACCAGTGCCTTATAGTGCATATTGCTGTATCAGTAAGTTTTGTGTTCTTGTTTTTGTTTTAGAACACTTTATCTTCGTGATGACATAGTTACAGAAGGCAATTGTCGCAAAGAAGTGATGTCAAATGCTGCTGTCACAGAAGAAGAATATTTTGTAGCCCCTCAAGGGAACATTCCACTCATTCCTCGAGATTCTTTACTAAACGACAATAAAAGTAGTAAACAGAAATAATATTTCCAGATTTGCTCTATATTTATATAACTGCAACTAGTTATACATAACAAATACACATTGTTAGTGACATTAATTATGTTTTTGAAATGTCAAGTTCACTTCATAAGGTTTTACAGCTGTGTGAGAGACAGTGTTTTTTGTGGCCTGTTGTGATCAGTAAGGATTCCAATAACTTTGTTGAGTATTTCAAGTTTGGTTTTGCTGGTGAGCTTCTGAAGAACAATATTTGCCAAGAATGGCTGCTGAGCATGGTTATGAACACAGATGAAAATATATTCCCATATCACTCTCATGGTTTCACAAGGAATATTATCAAAGGTAATATTTTTTCTATACACTTGAAGATAATAAAGGTATAGATAAATATTAATGGAAATAGCTGGGTTGTTCTTTTTCCCTTTTAATTATCTCAGATACCGCTTTTCTTCATAATAAAATGAACACAAAATAAGAAGACTTGTGTTCATCTCCTTGTCCATTACTTCACCTCTATGTTTCATCTCCTTAACCACTCACCAGATATCGATGAAATCTTTTATTGCAGTCTATACTTAAAGATGCCAGTCACATTTAATTTTGGCTTGGATCAGCCCAGAATAACCCATACTATGTATGAAGCTGATATCATTTTTATAAAAATGACTCATCTTACAGAAAACTGACATGACATAAAACATAAATGTCTTAAGATCTACAACTGCAAAGAAAAATTGGTATGACTACAAAGCATTAAGTGTAGAATGATACATTATTAAATATTAATTTATGTTGGCAATAAATGAGCATCAAGGCCAGTGATGTATGTGGAATTGCAAAAATGCATTTGGAAAATGTGTTTTAAATAACTCATCTACTCTCTTTCACTTTCAATTTCAGGATTTTTATATACCTTATATTCGTTTATTTTACTGGGTGCAAAAATTATGAAGGGCATATAGGCAGAGGCCTAATCCAGAATATAGTAAAATGTTGTGTTTTAGATTTGAGAGAACCTTTCGAATATGTGAAGAAACTCAGTAATTCACAGCTGCCATTTGGAATTTCTGAGACTAGACTAGAGGTCAGGGACTTATTGAGTAACATGACACAAGAAGAAACAAGATACTTCCAGCCTCAGAAACACACAGTGCTGTGGTCATGCATATTTGCTCGGCCAGGGAATGCCATGCAGCGCTTCTACCAGTGGCAGCGTCAGAGGAAAATGTGGTGGAGAAAGGTAACAGAATCAAGACATTTCTACTAGCATAGAATTGCACTTTGTATGCAGTACAGGTTTATGGGTGATTTATTATACCACATGTTTAATATCCAGTGTTTTGGGAGTTGAATTTTACTGCTATTCTCAGTTGATAGCCAATATGTTTTCAATCCTGTACATTTAATTTTCATCTTCTTAATGGCAAATGTGTGGGACATAGGAGCATAGACATAACATAAACATAAAAACATCTGAAGATGGCTGGCTCCTGGGATGTTGTACCATGTAGCCTGGTAAATAGTGACCAACATTCAAAGGTGTTTCCTACCCCCGCAACTAGTGTGATGAGCGAGGTGCAGGCAGAAATGTTGGGGAGGCAGTAAGTTCCTCTGACTGGTGAATACATTGCAGAAGACAGCCATCTTCATCATCACTGACATGAAGATATCTGTGTGCATGATGAAGTATTTCTTCTGACTGATTTCAGTTCTCTGCTTCTCCTGGAAGATTTTTTCTTACTGATATCCAGAGTGGTCCAGATGGTCAACTAGTGGAGATTAAGGCTGAGTTCCCATGGGGCTCTGAAACAGTGGAAACAGTGTGTTATTCAGGAGTCAGACTATTTGAGAATATTGAAAGCACTGAAAAAGAATTATTTGAGGTACACTGCACTGTTCAAGAGATCTTTTAAGTAACCACTATTTATGACAGATATGAATGGTTTCTTAAGATGTACTTCCCTCATGCTAGAGCATGAGGAACACTCATACCACTTCCAACTCAGCTTGAAGTTGAATTACTGATATCTGTCTGGCAATTTAGTTTTTTTGTTTACATATATTTATGACCTTCTCCATTGCCAGTCATTTAAACTGTATTTTAAATCCTATGTAGTCCATACCATAGTGTCAGGTGTTAAGAATTTTATTTAGCATTAGATACAACCTATGTGCATGCATAATTCATGTGTAATTATTATTTATTCATGACCTTCATGCCCTACATGTTTCAGCCAATTGCCATATGTAGGGACAACCAATAACAAGGAGTTAGCCATTAAGTTTACAGAATTTTATTTGTACACAGTTGCTACATTTATCTTTCATTCCAGGCAAGAGATGGGCGGAAAAAAGTGATGCCCCATGTGATTGAGAGCACTGCAAGTCTCGAGAGCAGTGTGTTAATATTTCTTTGTGATGCGTATGATGAGCCATTATTCTTGGGGTTACCTCGCCAGATGTTGAGGTTCCACCGCAAGTTGGCTCCATACAAAACAAGCTTTTGTGCTTCTCCCTCTAGTATGTATTCATGTAACACTGTAGAATGGGACTTCTGTTAAATGGATTAAACTTTCAGGGTGACAGTAACTGAAACAAATGGTGGTGTTGTATGTGTTGATTAAATGATGTATTTACAGCTGCATCAGTAGGAGAGGAACTTGGTCAGTTGTCCCTGTACCTGACCAAGCAGCTTCGAAATGTGGGAATTTCAACTCTGTTGTTACCTGATGTAGCCAGAAAGTCACTAGAATCTCA